ATTTATCTAGTTAGTATCTGCAAATCTAGAACTCCCAGTTTATCCCTCCCTACACCATTTCCCTCCAGTAACCGTAAGTTTATTTTCTGTCTGTGAGTCTGTTTCTGTTTTGTAATTACAACTTCATTTGTCTTTATTTTTTAGATTTCACATATGAGTGGTATCATATGGTATTTTTCTTTCCCTTTCTGGCTTACTTCTCTTAGAATGACTATCTCCAGGTCCATCCATGTTGCTGCAAATGGCAATATTTTATTCTTTTTTATAGATGAGTAGTATTCCACTGTACAAATATACTACAACTTCTTTATCTAGTCATCTGTCAATGGACATTTTGGTTGTTTCCATGTCTTGGCTATTGTAAATAGTGCTGCTATGAACTATGTATTTTTTCCAATTAGAGTTCCCTCCAGATATATGCCCAGGAGTGGGATTGCTGGGTCATATGGTAAGTCTATTTTTAGTTTTTTGAGGAATCTCCATACTATTTTCCATAATGGGTGTGCCAAACTACATTCCCACCAGCAGTGTAGGAGGGTTAGCATTTTTAAATTTTTCTTTTTTTATTAGTAACCCTAAAGCAAAGGAGTAAATGTTTAATGAAGAAGTAAAGAAGTTTAAACAGTTTTCTTTGGTTGGGGATGTGTGCTAACTTGGGCATGCGGACTTGCTTATCTGGGGACCCGGAATTGTGAAACAGAAAAGGAAGAAAAGCCAGTCCGGAGTGTGTTAAAGAGGAAGCTACTCCCACGGTCCATGGTGGTTCACGCCCCTCTGAGGACCCCCTGAGAAAATGTAAAACACCTTCCCAATTGTCAGCCCAAGGGATAGGAGAGGGGAGCATGTATCTGCTGCACACTCCCAAGTTCCCCTTGGCTGGCCAGAGTTTGTCCACGGGTGTGAACTCCCTGGCACTTCCAGGCTTGTGGCCACAGTAGAGTGTCTGAGCAGCTCCCTCCAGCATCCCTCCAGGTGGTGGCAGGGCAGAGAAGCAGGGCTTCTCTGTCAAGTTAGGGCTGCACATGCCTGGCTCTCACAGCTATGCCTGGAGCAAACTGTGGGCTTAGAGGATGCCAGGACACAAAGATCTCTGACATGGAGTAGGATTCTGGAATTAATCCAAATGCTGGACTTCCTAGAAGATGTAGAATTTCTGGAATCCCAGGTGCAATTGTGACCTGGAAAGACTCAAAGTCATACCTAAGATGACTGGATCAAGGGGAGGTCACCGTTGGGCTCAGTGCCCTGCTTTCAGTATTTCTCCCCGCCACTCCGGCAGCATCTCCTCACATCCACTGACGGTGGGTGCGCTCTCCTCCACAGCTGTTGCGGATCTTGTTCCTCCTTTTCCTCTCCCAGACTCTCCCTAGAGAAGCCCAGGCCTAGGAGGAAGACCCACACCCCATCTCCCAAGCCCAGCTCACCTTCCACACCCTCCAGAGACCCTGACTGCCACACCACTTAAGTGGAAGTCTCTGGTCTCTGAAATTCTTCCATTGCCCGACTACCGATTCTGTATTTAAACATACACAGCTATGAATTTAGGTAATAGTTTGGGAGGTTATATCTTTTACATCTTGTATCTTCAGCTGGAGAGTTAGTTCTTTGAGGACAAGTCATGAATTGTGTTTCTTTGAACCTATCAATACCAGGTAGAGGAATTATGGGTAACAGATATTCAATAAATCTGTGGTTGATTGTTGATGCAGCCCCATTCTGCAAAGCTCCAAGAGCAGCTAGTTTCAAGGCAAATGAATGAGAACAACAGAACATCCAGGGTTCACGTGTAACAAAGGGACTAAATCTGCTTGTCCTCATTAAGGCAGTGAATAGATGATGAGCCAGCTTGAGTAAGCAAATTCCGCTATTGACCTAAAGTTCATTTTTGTAGGGAGATTTCTGGTAAAGCCCTAAGCTTAGGACTGCCAAGATAAGACTAGCCAGTAGAGAACATGACAATAAAACTGAAATGGGGGAAATATGCCTTAGAACAAAGAATACAATGTACTTGCTTTATGAAGTAAAACTCAAGTCATGAGTTATAGAACAACCAATACTTTCTCCATCCTAACCTTAATGTTCAGATCCACTTCTTGGGTAGAGGGTGGCAGCAGACCAGTATTTGCAGCCTCCTCCCCTTCCTCGATCACCCCTGTGAATGTAGGTGGCCGTGTGACTTGCTTTGGTCAATGAAATATTCATGGAAGTGATGCATGTCATTCTCCAGCAGAAGTGTTTAAGAACCGGTAGCCAAGTCTCTAAGCTGTCTTCCTTTGCTGCAACAATCATAGGATCAGGTATTCAGATAGAGATGCAGCATAGCTGGAACAGGAAGATGGAGTGCATTCACTGAAGCCACACTTACTGAGCACCATGCATGTGCAAAGCACTGTTAGACACTGGGAATATGCCAGCGCACACGGCAGTCTCTGCTCTCTGGATTTTCCTGTCTACAAAGCAGGCATTTATTTTTGATTTATATAAATCAGATTTAACTCTGGCTGTGACTCATATTACAAAGGGAGATAGAACATGCCAGGAGAGCACATTACATGGACATCCTGAGGTCTAAAGGGAGGGTTGATTACCAACAAGCAGGAGTTACCAGTTAAAGAATATTCCCAACTGGGGTCCTGAGGGAGAGAAGGGAGTTGTGAATCTGAAGAAGAGAAGGCCAGCTTGATTAGACAAGAGAAAGTGAGGGCAGAGTCCACCAGGCTCATGAAACACGTAGAAACCACACTGTATGGGCCTTGTGGGCTTTGTTAAACATTTCAGTCTCTCACTCTAAAACTTATTTGGGTATTCTTGAAACAATTAAGGGGTCGTGTATGATCCTCCTACCATATTTTTCCTTGCTCCAGCAACCCTCGTGAAGTGGCAAGAGTTCTTTCTTGCTGAGACGGATTTAAGCACGTTGAGAGACTGAGCAGGTAACCCTGCCATGAGGTCTGTGAGTAGTGTCTCCCATGCCTCCAGAGGTTACCACTACCTTCTGCCACCCCACAGTATTGGGCGAGGTTCTTCAGAAGAGACCAGGATCTGCTCTGGCTAGATCGGAAGAAAAGGATTTGTTATAGGTATAGAGACTCCATGAGTCTCTTATGGAAACATGGAGAAATGGATTCTGTGCTGGGTTACCAGGAAGACCCCAAAGCCACCCCATATTGCTGAGCCACCAAGAAATCTGCTGCCCTGTCACAATGAGGCCTCTGCCTGTTGAAACTGGAAGCAGATGCTGCAACTGCTGACTCAAAACAACACAAATCAGGAAATTGGATGTCACGTGACCTGCCTCTTTCCCCACGTACCTCGGTTGCAAATTCAAGGCTTGCACAGACAGAATGGATCAGCAGAACTTAAATCACATCCAGAACCTAGCTTCAGGGGCGGCTGGGAAAAAGTGTTTGAAGTCTGTAGTCTCTGCTGTAGGGAAAACCTGCTGCAAGGGGATTGAAAGAGATATTGAGCATATAATTCATGATGTTCATCACACCACATATCAAAAGAATCCAAGTGAGTTGTCTGCTTTCAAAAGTCTTCCAATTCTCACTTCAGCTCTTTGAAACTGAAAGAGGTGATTAGGCAGGCATCCTAACCCTGGCTGATTAATAACAAGGGAAAGAAAGTGCCGGGCTATTAAAAACAGGTTGTTTCTCTTACTCTGCAGCTGGCTCCTTGGTTCCAAGACACAGCTGTACAACAGGATGTTTTGTGTTCCACAACTGCGCATCAATCCCAAGGACAGACCTCAGTATCTCGTCCTTTGTTCTCTGTTTTCTCTGCCGAAGTTTCTGTTTTAGGGCTGGACTCCATGCGAGGAAAGAGCCAGTAATAGAAGGTGACTGGCACCACCAGAATGAAGATTAACAATGGCAGAGCCCCCCAGTAGAAGACCCAGCAGACTGACTAGGGGCTAGAGCTGTCTCGGCCAGCTACCTGGCCGATATCTCCCTGCTCGAGTGTTTTCTTGTTGTGCTTCCCCACCCCGCTTCTCTCTCTGAGTAATAAAGCAGCCTTCTTTTCCACTCTGTCCCTCTGTCTCTATTGAGAATTCTTTCTCAGTTGGAAGACAAGGATCCACACATCTTGGTGGGGGTGCTTGCCCACCCATTTGGTGGGCTTTCCAATTTGGGGGTCTCTCTATCCACTAACAGAACCCTATCCTTATCTAAAGTGCCACTCTCCTTGTCTAGTGCTAGATCTTCCCATGAGCATCCAATTAGCCCTAACGGTTGAAAATGTTGGAGTAAATATCAGCTACCCAGTAGTCCTGGTGGTGATGATGATCATGATGACACCAGAATCTAACATTTATTGAGTTCTTGATATGTGATGGGCTCTATAATAAGCATTATCTCACCTAATCGTCCCAAAATACTCTGCATTATATATTATTATTATTACTTCTATTTTACAGAAGAAGAGACTGAGACTTACAGGTTACAGATGTTACAGATCATGTGACAAAGAAGTAGCTGAGAGAAACCTAAATACAGTAAGTAAGTTGTTGCTCAGGCAACAACTCTTATTCTTTTGTCTACTATTAACCTCTGCATTTCTGAATAATACACTTATACTGGTTTTTCAATTTTAGATATTAGCTATTGTCTTTTTGGTAGGGCAGATGAGAATTTATTTCTATAAATCTCTACAAATTTCCCCTTTCCACAGCCCTTTAATATGGCTATTCCAGAGTTTTGTTTAATATGACATTTACTGTGTTATTGTTATGGCTATGTAAAAACTGTTCACAGCTTCACCATAAAGTATGCCAAAAATGTCTATACATTTTTTTCTGTAGTTAATAATAGCTTCATTTTTAATAACAGCTTTATTGAGACAAAATTCACATAAACTATAATTCACTCATTTGTTGTGTACAATTCATTGGTTTTCAGTAGATTCACAAAGTTGTGCCACCTTCACTACAAACAATTTTAGGATCTTTTAATCACATCAGAAAGAAACCTCTTACCCTTTAACTATCACCTTCCACACCCCCGCTTTTCCTTGCCCCTCTTAGCCTTAAGCAATCATTAGTCTCCTTTCTATATATATTTGCCTATTTGGGATATTTAATATAAATGGAAATTTATACATGGTCTTTGGTGTCTGGCTTCCTTCACTTGGCATAATATTTTCAAGGTTCATCAATGTTCTAGCATATGTCAAGTACTTTTTTAGGACCAAATAATATTCCATTGTACGAAATCACATTTTGTTGATCCATCCATCAATTGAAGGACATTTGGATTGTATTTACCTTTTGGCAGTCTGGCAGTCCCTCAAAACTGTTGACAAATAGTTGACAAATACTTATCAGCTTGTCTTTGCCTATCTTCATATCTCTCATTTTCTCTCTAATTCTTTTCATATCATGGAGCAGTTTTTAAATGTCCACACATTTTTTGATGCTCTTCTTTCAAAGAGCGGAACTCTTTCCTCACCTGGCATATGGGCTGGGATTTCCCTCACCTTGTGTACGTGCTGGACTGAGTGACTCACTTCCAACTACTAGAATATGGTGGAAGGGATGCTGTGTGACGAGATCATCACAGGCACCACAGCTCTCTCCTTGCTCTCGCTCTGAATCGTGTACTCTGGCAAGTCAGTAGCCACTTTGCGAGAATACATCAGGCAGCGCTATGAGGAGGCCCACGTGGTCCACCTCAGGGGAGGAGGGTACAGGAGACTGTCTTCCTGGTTCAGTGGCCTTGCTATTGTTATTATAAAGAGCTTTTTGAAACTATCTTTTCTGCCCCTCCCCCCACTTTATTTGCTCTTAGTGTCTCTGCGCAGCTCCATTTAGGTCCTACCGCCAGCAAGTTCCTCTCCATGAGGGACTTCGTCCTGGAAAGGAGAACCAGCTGGTTAGTTCTGAGATTTAGTAGGGCCCAGACTGCCCCACACCATTTAATCTTTCCTTTGTCCTCACTCTTAGAAGCCCTTTCCAGCTCTGGCACTGTTTCCCAGAAAACTCACTCAATTAGCTTTCTAGACTGAGTTTAGTATGTTTAGATCTTAGGCTAAGTACCTTTGCGAGCTCGATTTTGAGTTTGCTGCTGTTCAGTGCCGCCGGAAGACCCTTTGCCTGCTTCCTACTTCCTCCTGCCCACTTGCTGATGCCACATGGGTCTTGTTGCTGTCAGTCAGCCCTTCCCTTGTATTTCGGAGTTCACAGGTTACCTTACTACTTTCATAGTAGATAATTGTTGTGCATTTGTTGTGGTGCTGGTTACTGTTGGAGGATTAGGTAGATTCAAAACTGCACGACTGCCACTTTAATCTTGTACAGGAATTGTCACATTTTTAATTTCCAGAAGTTCCTTTGTTCTCTGGATTTCCCGTTTCCTTACATCTTCTGATTCTTGGTTCACGCACCATACATCATCTTTTAACTCCCTAAGTATACTAGTGATTTTAAAAATTCTTTTCTTCTCCTTACATTGTCCTTATTTTCTCCAAGTTCCCTTTTTTCTTACCGTTTGTGCATCTCATTTTCATGTCTGAGTCTTTCTCCAGCTATCTTGAGATCTTTGGCCCTCTAAGCATATACAGAACTAGACGTTACGTTGGGAGCTCTGTGTATATACATAGGACCTGTCAATCAGTGGGCTTCTCTGTAACTGCTTGGGCAGCAACAGATTCATCTAGCTGAGGGACTCCACACAATCAATATCTGTTGGTTTTTTCTCTTGGGTTGGTCAGCTTCCCAGATAGGTGTCCTCCAACAAGACTCTATTAGGTGGGGGAAGAGGGTGATTAAGCTTGGTTGCCAGTAAGTTCTCAGAGGAACTGAAGAGGGGCTAGGGAGGGATCTCATGGTTTGATACACAGATTTCACTCAGCCTCCCTATCCAATAAGGCACCCAAACATGACCAGTGTCTCTGAATCCAAATCCTCTGTGTTTCAATCTGTCCTGAAAATAAACTTTCTGTTTTTTCTAGGGTGGGGACGAGGGAAGTCTCCTGTCTGCCCGGGGGTGAGAAATGGAATTTAATAGTTTATCTTCTTACACTTTTAAACTAATCATCTTGTCTTCAGCCCTACCCACCCATATCCACCTCTTCCTTCAGAGTTACCTGGTACAATTACTGGTTCACTTACTAAATTCTGGGGATTCTGAAATTTGAAAAGGTTGTTCCCCCAACCTTTGCAGGCACTTGAATATAAAGTCAGATAAATACATCCTCATGCTTGATAGATTCCAAAATTTTGTTGGCATCTATCCAGTTCTCTTTATCCTTACAGATTTACGATGTGGTTTCTTCCTTCAATTCTTTAATTGTTTGAATGGGGTTCAAAAGGCATGGAGATAAACACGTTTGTTTTACCTTTGCCATCTTTTTAACAGAAGTTTTGTCATCCTTTTGATAAATCCTTTGATAAATAAACTGAGAATAGTAATGTTAACTAAAATGCTAGAAATATACCTACTTTAATGTTTTCAAGACAAGAGTTCTGAATAGGCCTGAAGTAAACCCATCAGACATGTAACAAGACTGCATGCCACCAGAATGTTTTACAACTCAGTGATTGAAGTAGGTTTTCTAAAATTACCTAAAATTTTTATTTATTCTTATTAAAACCTGTTTAGGCATGGAGTTTCAAAAATCATGTGTACATGTACATACATAAGAAGAAAAATAAAAGCAGAACTTGGTTAAGGTATTCCTAAAAATCTTTACATTTAGAGTCCTTGCCTTCTGAATCACATTTTAAATATATATATATATTTTTTTAATTGTGGTAAGAAAAAAACCCCACATACCATAAATTTTACCATCTTAACCATTTTTAAGTATGCAGTTCAGTAGTGTGAAATATAGTCACATTGTTGGGCAATAGATTTCCAGAATTTTTTCATCTTACAAAACGAAAACTCCGAGGGGAGGGTATAGCTCAAGGGGTGGAATGCATGCCCCACATGCATGAGGCCCTGGGTTCGATCCCCAGTACTCCTTTAAAAAAATAATAATAATTAAATCAATAAACTTAATCACCTCTAATCTTGCCCCCCCAAAAAACCTCAACTAAAACTCTGTACCCATTAGACAGCAACTCCCCATTTCCTCCCCACCACAGCCTCTGGCAACCACGGTTCTACTATCTGTTTCTGTGAATTTGACTACTTTATATACCTTAAGTAAGTGGAATCAGAGTATTTGTCTTTTTGTGATGGCTTTTTTTCTCTTGTGTCCACAAGTTTCATTTATGTTGCAGCACGTGTCATGCCTTTTAATGAAGAAAGTTTTGTGGAGAAAGAAAAGAAATTTTAATAAAGTAAGTTCTGTGGACAAATATTTTAATGAAGTCAGTTTCGAAGAGAAAGAAAAATGCATTTCCCTTTAACAAGCAACACTGAAAATGTGAGTCACTCTGAAACAGTGGATCAAAAATTTGAAGGCCTTTGAAAGCATTCCTCAAAAAATTTAAATACATATTAAGCCCAAACTTAGGAGGGCAAAGAAAAAAAAAGATATCTTTCAATTCTGCAAACAAATTAAAATCACTTAAGTGCAAGAGACATAACATGTCGAATATTTATTATCCTGGGGGTTTCATGGCAAATAATCCCACCTGCTGGTAATACTGTAAGTATCAACAGTGACTACTCATATGCCAGCATTAGTTTTCCCAAAGGGCTCGTAAGAGAATGCCTCCTCCCCTAGGAGAAGAGGCAAAGTCCCAGTTTTTAGCTGCTGTGGGCTGGCTGTCATGTGATCAGAACATTTGCCCAAGTTCAGTTTCCAGGGTTTGCCCTCACAAAGTAAAATGCAGTGCAGAAACAAGATTTGTGGAAGCTAGTCTTAAAGCTTGAATTGGTTTGGGAAGCCTAAGAACCTGTTAAAGTTTGTTTGTAAAGAGGAGCTTCCCAAATACATTGGAAGCGGGGATAATTAGATTTTATTTATTTATCTATGTATTTTTATTTTACTTTTAATGGAGGTACTGGGGATTGAATCCAGGCCCTTGTGCATGCTAAGCACATGCTCTACCACTGAGCTATATCCTCCCCTCTCCAGATACATTGTGAAAAAAATTTTCTGAAGCATGAGCATGGTCACCTACTGCTCAGCCCACCGAGTATTAAGAAACAGGCAGATGCATTCCCCCGACACTCGCAAGTCTGCCTTCTTCACGCTTGCTCTTTTTCTGATTCTCTAGTAGCCTCTCAGTTGCTTCCCTCCCTTGCTTTCCTCTCCTTTCTGCCTTCCGTATTTTGTTTCCTCTTCTGTTCCCTTGAGTCCTGCATAGTTGCTGGCCTTCCCTGGCTCCCCAGCCCTTCCTGTCTGCTCCATAGTGCACAGAGAGTCCAGCGGGGTGTCACAGCTGGGGGGGGGGTTTCTCTTGGGTAAACCACCATATCCTGGAACACCATCCTGCAGTGTTTTCTTAAAACTTGGGAGCTGAAGTCACAGCATTTAAGCAGGGAGAAAAGGTGAAACCATTTACGCTGGCTAGCTCACCAGAGAATGGCTGTGTATAAATCTCCAAAAGGTGAAATTGAGTGGAAATGACTACGGAGGTAAGTCTAGGGTCGGGGCCAGAGGACCATCTAAAAGAAAAGGGCACCTGGGGTGATGGTGGCATCAGGATGGGCAGCCAGGGCTGCTGGTTGTGGCTGGATTCACGAGCTCTCTTTCCCACCTAACCTACTGAGGCTGGGTCAGCTGTGGGGCAGTGGCTGGGACAACTGTCTAGTTCCACTGCTGTGTATTCCTGGGTAAATTAGAGCTGGATCTATCTAATTTGAAAAAAGAAAAGGAAAGAAAAAGAAAAGGATACCCAATTGTGACTTCCAAAAAAGTACTCTGGGTGCATGGGACATTCCACCCCCAGGCATCAAGGTGGGCTCTGCAAAGTTATTTTGAAAGTCCCCTGTGTGCAAACTGTTTCTTGAACCATTCTAGAATATAGTATCACAGAAAGACCTATTTTATAGGGAGGAAGCCATGAATATTATAATTTCAAGAATATCTATTAGGCTAGAAAGGGAGAAATACCACATGATATCACTTATCTAAAAAATATGGAATCTAAAAAAATAAAAAGAAGACACTAATGAACTCATCTACAAAACAGAAACATGCTCGCAGACATAGTAAACAATCTTATGGTTACTGGGGTAGGAAGGGATACATTTGGGAGATTTGCAAATATTAAGTAATAAATGTAAAATTAAAAAAAACCCTACATTTCTTCTGTATAGCACAGGGAACTATATTCGGTATCTTATAATAACCTTTAATGAAAAAGAATACGAAAATGAATGTATGCAAGTATATGCATGACTGGGAGGTTATGCTGTACACCAGAGACTGACACATTGTAACTGACTATACTTCAATTGAAAAAAACCCAACCTATTAGGCCCTGGACTAAGGACAGAATCTAAATTTTATTAACAGAATCTAAAATTCTATTTATAGTTTTATCCCTTTAGTTTAACTTTTTAACCCTCCCTTATAATGTAAGCAAATCCCCGGAAGGATAATAGAGTGACCCTTATGAATCTGGAGCCTCAAATCACGCCAGGCCTGCCCCTAACCTCCATGACCTACATCCTTCGCTCCAGGCAAACTGGAATTCACTCCTAGAGCCAGCCCCAGGCTCCTAAAGGCCTTCATGCCTGAAAGCTTTTGAGCCTGTTTTTCCTGCCTGGGTCGCTTCCCTCCCTTTTCTCTTTTTGGCTCTCTCAGTTCTTCAAAATCCAGGCAATGTCACTCTCTGTTCAAAGGCTGTGCTCCAAGCCAGACTTAATCCAACTAGGGGTTCCCTGACTACGTGGATCTCTCCTTCCTGATGGCCCTTGTAATCACTGGCATCTTTCCACCAGCTTAAGACTTCATCAATGACATGAACTGGGTCTTGTTCTCTACTGAATCTCCTGATTTGGTAAGAATATCTGGCCCATGGTAATTTCTGTTTGTGGAGTGAACTAATTCTTTACTGTCAATGTGTTTTTAATGGAGTAGGGGTGCAGAGCTGGAGTAGAGAAGGTAAATATGCCAAGAGAAGAAAGTAAAGAGAGGAGGCTGGGGTCACTGGAGGCAAACTCCTCTAGAGGACAGTTTTGCAAAACGCCAGACAGCTTAGAGGCAGGCCAAGTCCTCTTATTCTCTCTCTCTTAGAAGGTCACTCTAGTTGATAAACACAGCATTTATCTAAAGTTCAGAGTTCTAAGTGTTGTTTTGCAAATCATATAACAGGCTTCTCTTTTTCATTTTAATTTAGGTGTGTTTACATTACATCAGACATTTCCAGATACAGAAAGCAGTTCTACAGCTCTTAAAAATATTCACTAAATGTATAAAATTAACAGCTGAATACGAAATAAAGCAATATTTAGTGGTGACAGTGTTCTCCCAGTAGCAAATGATCCAACTTATTATTTAATACTGACAACTAGATAAAACATTATCATGTTAAGCATTGCAAATTACCGAAATTACACAGAGAAAAAAGATAAATGTATCGACTGCCATCGAAAGCTCAAAAGAAGCTATTAATAAAAATACTGGCTCTCGAATGGCTCTGACAGAGCTAAGCTCCAGTATTTTTTCTGGGTTTGTTTGTTTTTTTTTTTTTTTTTTGGTGTGTGTTTTGTTCCTAAACCACGTGAAAAACTTTAAAACATATAAAATATTGTAGCTTTCTGAAGAGACACAAACTAAAATTATGCTTAAAAATCTGGTTTACTTGGATAATTTCTGCTGTGTGGCATTAGTAAATATATATATATATAAAATCTCAGCTCTTAATAGCACTGAAGTTCCTTGTGTGTGAGCAACAAAGGTATTCAAAATCCTGATTGCTGTGACAAGCTCCTTATTTGTACGCCCAGATGGCATCCTGCCCTTCGGTGATGATATCTTCCACTTACTGGCCCTATGTGACCAATTCCAGGGAAAAAAAATGGGACAGGACTTGTCTTTCTATATATTTTCTAAAAGTTATTATAACCATTGCATTAACTGTATGCTCCAAATGTTCATTAAAACAAAAACCAAATCAAAACCTTTTTACCTTTAGTAATCACGAGGAAACCTTTACATATTTATATAATACATTGTCCATACTGTTTAAAACTAATAATAAATCAAAATTAATTGATTAAAAAAGGTAGCTCTCATTGACTGCTGAAATTTAAAATGTATTAACACATTTAATGCAATCGCCAAAGTGATGTTTAATGAGCTGTATCTCACATAATAAAATAGGGCAAAGTTTAAAACTCAAATTTGCTTTGGATTTGTATCTGCTACCATCTGTTGGTTCCCGGATCCTGGGTTACATAATTCTTATTTTTACGTTAAACATTACCAGCAATAAAAACAGGAAGAAAAGGGGAAACAAAAACGCGTGTAGGAAAGTTAGGATTTCACACAGGCTTGACAGCCTTATTTTCTTCTCAGAAATCCTAGAAAACAGAAAACCACAGGAAGTTGTCTTATTTGAGAAAGACTCCCTTCAACTTATTATGAGTGAAACAGGGAAAAAAAGTTCCTCAGAGGGAGAAAAGAAACAAAAGTCCAGACTTCATTTGTCGACAAATTCCTCAGGGGCTCAAAACTCAAGTCCCCCAAAGCTGAAAGTGGAAAAGAGAGCAATGAATGACCTTAAAACAAGTGATTTTCAAATCAGTGAGGAGACACTGAAGGCAGCCTCCTTAGACCCTGGTCAACTTCTGACTGCAGGTATTTCTTTATTTTTTAAAACAATGTTCTCCCCTAAAGAGATCACATGGGTTAAATTAAACCTAATGCTTTGAGTCTCTGTTCTAAACATTTATTTTGTTTCTTAAATTATTTAAATAATTTGCTCATTTTACTTTTTAATTATCAAAAGTAATATAATATTACAAAAAGGTTTAGAGAAGATAACTTACTTCCTTTCATTCTAACACAAATGGTCATTTCTTCAAGCTTCTTTTCAGTCTTTTATTCATATGCCTGCATTTGTGGCCAATCAACCAGTCAACTAACACTGAGCACCTACTCTGTGCCGGCCACTGTTGTTAGAAATATAGCCAAGAAAAACAGGACCCTGTGTACACGAAGAACCAAAGGCAGGCATAATTTCAGTGTGATAAGTCATACAAAGAAAAATAAAGCAGACTAAGGAGACAGTGATGGATGAGTTGGGGGTGCTATTTTAGATGAGGTTGGAAGGAAGGGGTCTCTGATTTGTTGGCATTTGAGCAGAGATCTGAATCAAGTCAGCCATGTAGAATGGATGAGTGAAGCCAGCCACATAGGTATTTGTGGGAGCAGCTTTCCAGGCAAAGGATCTGTAAATGCAAAGGCCCAAGGTGGGAGTGAGCCTAGGGTGCTTGAGAGTGAGCCAGGATATCAGGGATGCTGAAGCAGGATGAGAGATGGACGAGAGTCTCCTACTGAGACTATCAGAGAGGTAGCTGAAGCCAGACGGGAAGTCATTTGCACTGTTATAATAGCTTATAAAGCCCTCCTGAGCTTACACGGAGACGTAATCCCATTTCTGGGACACATTACTGCTCATCTCTCACAGTGCCACGTGATGTTCAGACGCCTAATTTTAACAGTGGCATAATATTCCATTACATGCATATGCTATCATTATGTAAGTTCCTTTTTTGCCCTTTAGTGAATATCTTTGGCTTTCCCTCTCCCCTATTATCTTCTTCACTGCATTTCAGGTATTTTTAGTATAAATTCCCAGAGCAGAGATTATAATTTCAAGGGTTATGAAAATAAATATTACCAATTCTCTCTCTAAAGTTATATGTCATATGCAATGCCAGCAATATGTTATCAATTAGATTAAACATATTTTTTAAACACTTGGAGCTTTTTTCTTTTTGGTGGAGGGAGGTAATTGGGTTTATTTATTTATTTTTGGTGGAGGTACTGGAAATTGAACCAAGGACCTCATGCCTACTAAGCATGTACTCTACCACTTGAGCTATACCTTCCCCCCAAACATTTTAAACTTTTATGCAAACATACAAAAGAGAGAACCATATAAGGACTCCCATGATCACTTCTCTCTAACGATTATCAATCAATCTTGTTTCATTTACACCCACCCTCATTTCGCTTGGTATTTGCACCAAATACTCAAAATAATATCATTTCACCATTAAGCAGATTGAATATATTTTTGGAAATAGAAAGCTAAGAAGTCTGCCTTTAAAGGAGACAGTCTACCAGAAAGTTGTTGGTATTTGTTCTAAAGTACGTCTTCGAGCTTCGAGAACATGGTTAATGAATACCTATAACCATGATTAAATTAACAGTGCACGACCGGCCAGCTGGTTATCCCAGCTGGGTGACACCGGCCGCTTAAGCCATGCGTTGCTTCTCTATTTCCATTTCTTCTCAAATTCAGTGGCTCCTGGAGTCACGTTAATCCTGTCCCACAGTTGGCTCTGGGACCTTGTTCTGCCTCTCCATGGCTATCCTGGCTTTCCTTGTCTCTTGCCTGGACCACTGCCACCACTTCCCAACTGGTTTCTCTGCTTGTAGTCTTGCTCTCTTTCCAACCTGTCCTCCACACTGCCTCCGGGTCCTCTTTCTAAACCACAGACACCATGATGTCTCTCATTTGCTTAAAATCCTTCAGCGAGTCTTTCTTGCCTTGAAGAGAAAGTCTGTACCCTTAAGCATGGTCGTCAAGGCATTTGTGATAGGTTGAACATCTCTTCATGACCTCTGCCTTTCCCTAACCTCACATTCATCCTCTGTCCTGACATTCTGATACTTGCCATTTCTTGAACTGGTCACGTTCTGCCAAAGTGGTTCCCTGTGCCTAGAAACACCTTTCCTTGTGTTGCCACACTCCCTCTGCTCTCCTTCCCCGTTCATCTCTCCCTTATGTCCACCCACCTCACTGACTCCCACTCATCCTTTAAGGTGCAATTTATCCACCACTTTCACTTGGAAGCTTGCCGAGAGCCACCCACCAGACCTGAGGTACTCACTGTCACTACCAGCGGTCACGCTGCACCCGCTGCATGGCTCCACCATTGTACTTCCCTCTGTGCTGTGACCATCACTCTCTTGTCGGTCTCCTCCACTGGACAGATAGCTCCTTGACAACAGGAACTTGTTATCTTGGTTCCCGGACAGCACCACCCATGCAACAAACATGTAATAGCGTGTTATGAGAGCGTTGGGACTTTTGGTTGTGAACAACAGAATCCAACGCCTACAGGTTTAGCTTGCAGAAGAGCCCGATGAGAAGATACTACTTAGCTCACAGGGTCACCTGGAGAAGCAAGAGCTTGCTTCAGTGGTAATGCAGCCAGAAAAGGCCCCCAGTCGCTCCACAAAACTGCTCATGTGTGGTCACTTCGCACCCCCCACAGAGAACCAGCCCTCCCACCTCAGCCAGCCTGTAGCAGCTCTGACTCATCTGTTTGATATTTTGAGCTGTGACATAAATATCCTTTGAAGAAAGGGTTTCATAGATTAAAAAAAAGAAGAAATATATGGTCTGTAAGGAGAGGTCCAGGGGCTTCATAAATTGGTACTTATATTTATACTTAGGTGTTTTAATAAAGATTTATCACACTGATTTATTTTGGTAATTGAGGAACTGTAAAATTAATATTCAGTCACTCAGTCAGTTATTTGTTCATTCACCCAATATTTACAAAGTATCCTTCATGTAAAAGGCACTGCAGAGTTCCATCTTCATGACAGGCCTCGGTAAGTTTAAGACACTATGCTCCTAAGAAATGAACCAGGCAGGAATTATAGTTTCCATTTTATAGATGAGTAAATCAAGGCTCAGAGAAGCTAAGTGACTTGCTTACCTGATGAGCCCACAGTTTGAAACAGGTCTTTCAACTGTGCTGCTTGGACTTGCCAATCATATCAAATATTATAGAGCACCCAAGCAGTGTGTGGTCTGAGAAGAGACTTCTGAATCTGTCAGGTTGTGGGTTGTTGGGCTGCACCCCGCCGGCCTGCAAGCCTTGTAGCTGCCTGGCCTTAAGACCGAACAAAGAGCCCGGAGACAGTGAGAGAGACATCAGTGGTTCATTGGTTAGGGGACCTTACACAAAGGTCCTGGAGTGACATCCCACCGTGTGCAGCAGCCAGCCAGCAGAAGCAGCAGTCTTCGCTTCTTGGGAGACAAGGACGCTACTATTTATAGGGAGAATTGAGGTGAGGTGGGCTCATCAGGCACTAATTAAGCCCTATAATTAAGAGGATTGGATTCTCATGTGAGTGTAGCTAAGACTGGTTGAGCAGGGGATGCACAGAGAGCCAGAAGACAGTCATCTTGAGTGACCTGACCATGCATAGGTCATTGGTGGTGACCTTTGAGAAACAATTTATTTGGCTAGGTGAACGTGGCAACCAGGTTGTAGAGGGTTAATTGGTGAATGTGATGAAGAAGTGGCACCAGCGAGCACAAACCATTCTTTCCAAACATTTGACAGTAAAGGAAATGATTGACAGAACTGTGGCTTGAGGAGAAAACAATGAAGGTTTGGTGAGACTGGAACTTGAGCATGATTGTAGATAGAGACTATGGAGATAAAAAGGCTTAAAAACAAAAGAGACTCATAGACATAGAATACAAACTTGTGGCTGCCAAGGGAAAGGGGGGTGGGAAGGGACAGACTGGGAGTTAAAGATTTGTAGATACTGTCAGGCATATGTAGAGTAGATAAACAAGATTATACTGTATAGCACAGGGAAATAGATACAAGCTTGTGGTAGCTTACAGCAAAAAAAAAAAGATGACAATGAATATATGTATGTTCATGTATAACTGAAAAATTGTGTTCTATGCTGGAAATTGACACAACATTGTAAAATGACTATAACTCAATGAAAAATGTTGAAAAAAAGAGAGAGCGAGCAATAAGATACAATGCAGAGAAATTTTTTTAAGCACAATTTTAAAAAGCACACACACATAATGGGCTTTGGAGAAAGTGCTGGTTTCAAATTCTGACTCTTACTGCTTACTCATTAACAGTCTCTCTGAGTTTCAGTTTTCAAATCTATAAAATTGTGACCCTCTTGCATTAAGTTTACACAAAAACGCCCTGTACCCACTGGCATCTAAGAGGCAGTCCATCCCATCCACAACTCTACTCTGTACCACCCAAAATGAGGGTTGCCAGAAAACAATACCTGCAATATTTGGGACATACTTTTACTAAACAATGATTACTTGTTCACTTGAAGTTTCAGTTTAATTGGACGTGCTATTTTTATTTCTCCTAAATCTGGTAATCCTACTCAAAATAAAATACCTTGTATCCAATGTACCATAATAAAACTTGAAGGCCAGAATGAAGAGGTAAACAGTGGGTGGATGATGCTGCCTCCTACTGGTGAAATGTGGTAACATCATCCATCTTAGCAACATGTACACCCTGTAGGTGGCTTTCTTAAAAATAGCAAGCCACCAGACACTGTGGAGGAGAGGTGGAGTTTTCATTGTCCCGCTAATATTTTAGTCTAAATTTACTACTATTGTAATGCCACTACTTTTCATTTTCAGTGGTGCCAATATATTTCTTTTTCGCTATGTAGTTTTACACTTTTCTGTCAAGATTAGCAGAATGTTACCGCACATTCAGAACTTAACGCTTTCCTATCGGATTGCAGTATACTCTTTGGATATGTTTTAATTTGTACGTTTTCACTTGTAAAACTTCTTTAAAGTCACTGTCAGTACACGCCTATTCATTTTTCCTTACAAAAATATGATGTATTTTAAACCTGTCTTAAATGTTGGGTAAGGCACTGGCACAAAAAAAGGAACTCAATAAAATCATAGCTTTTTATTTTTATTTATTTGAAAGTTTTTAAATTTTAATTCTATCATGTTAGTAGGTAGGGTGTTACTACAGAGGAACCCGATGGGGGTGCCACATAAGAAGTCCCTAATAACAAGGACAAATGAGGCTTTCTAAGTGTATTCTCCGGCAGGAGTTGAGAAAAAGCTCTCACAGGCACTCCTCTCTCCGGATTTGTCAAGTGCAGGGTCTCGGAAATGAGCAGCGAATACTTCCCTCGCGCCCTGTCGCCCTGAAGCTCATCGGTTGTGACTGCGAAGCTCCCGCTTCCTCACCTGCCTGGTTAGGAGCCCAGGACCTGTGCATTGGCAGCTGGGGTACAAGGAGAATAAATGGTTTACTGATAAGAAAACATAAATCAGGAGACATTTCAACATCATTACACCTGTTACAATTGCTTGGTGCAGGATGGCAAGTGCATTCCCTTCCAGTACCGTATGCACTACGGACAACCATGCATGCTTTCTCGCTGATCCTGGGGATGCCTCGGGGCTACTTAAAGCCACACTCAATTGACCATAAGTAGCATACAAAATGACACCTGTTTATCCCTGGCTTGTGATTTGATAACTCTTGGAGAATACACATTTTTACCTGGGGCGCCTGGATACCAAAAACCTTAACCATGGAATAGATAACTCGCCGCAGAAGTTCGAGCCCAGCAGTCGACTATGGAAGAGAGGCTTCTGGACACAGGGGACTTTCCAACACTCTTAACTCAGGTTAAATTGACTCCACACACTGAGAATGTACATCTTCCATGTGTGCAGCTCATCACCCTATTCCACCCCAAGGCAGTGCAAATCATCCCTAGGGTATGATCTCCCCATCACTTCCCCTGTTCTCTCCCAGCTTCCACTCTGCAGCCCTCAGATGCTTTCTGGTGTGAAATAGCATCCGAAATGTCAAGTCCCCCCCCAACCCCGCCCCATTGCTCCCTGCTCCATCCCCAAGGCTGCGTCACTGTTATGAGCTGCCAGTGCCTGATGCTCTCTCGTGAGTTCCTCCCTGCAGTGGTTGGTTTGTTGTATGTGATATTCCTGATGTCAGAGTGAGCGTTTCCTCTGTGGTGGCCGGTGCCTTGCTTTGCCTCACTTCTACCTTTGGCCAAGCTTCTCAGCAATGCTGATCCCTGGAGAGGGTGGATGAGGGAAAATAGACGGACTGGTACAAATATTTACAACCACAAAAATAGCTCATAAACACCACCTTACTGACAGGTGTTTTTGTTTTGTTTTGTTTTGTTTTGCTTTGTTTTGTTTTACAATTTTTGCTTACCATCACGGCTTCAGAACTCTGGAGGAACTGGAATTGCTGTGCCTGTGTATACAGAGGCTCGCTTTGCTGGGACTGGGCAGGAACTGGATCCTCTTCTTCTCTGTGTTCATCTAAGCAGTACCTGGCCCAGCTTTGATGTTCTATAAATAATGGTTATGGTGATTGTGAAATGAATCCCCTGCTTTGCAGACTAGTGATCAACCTGATCTTTGGGCTGTATTGTAACAGGAGAGACACTTAGAGCACTGCCTGAACTTGAAGAGTTGAACTTGTCCTGGAACAGTAGTGGGAGGAAACTTGCCTCTGATCCTCCAGGCATTGTGAGAAGGGAGAAGGATACATGCGCTGGAACTCGTGGACTGTGTCCTCACATCAGATGATGGGGCATTTGTGGGTGAGCGGAATTCGGAATGTTACCGGAGGCAAGTTCATGTACCTGCTCCACTATGAGGCCAAACAAACGGAAACATTGAGGTTTGGAGCAAAGAAAGGTTTACTGCAGGGTTGAGCAAGGAGGATGAGGCAGCCTGTGCCCAAGAAAATCCCAAACTCCTCGAAGGGTTTCAGCAAAGCATATTTAAAGGCCAGATAAGGGGGGTGGGGGTCTCAGGGTACGTGATCAGCTCGTGCACAATTCACTGATTGGTTGATGTTGAGGTAACAGGGCAGCCAACACTATCAACCTCCAGTAGCCAGAAGGTCTGGGGGCTACATAATCTCAATCATCAAGTAGTTAACTTCTTCCTTTTGGTGGTGGTTGTAAGCACCTGAAAAACTCAGGAAACATACATGAGATACTATTATGGGTACTTCAGAAAGGAGCTACAGCAGAGGGTATGGGGGAGAGATCTGACCCTGGAAGGCCCCACAGGGTCCTGCTTGGTTACAAGAGGAGTCCTTCTCAGGAAATAATGTGATGACGCCCATGAATGGAGAGCTTGGGAGTCAAAGATGGCTGTGTCTTCTCTTACCCTGAATTGAAAGAGTGGCTCCCTCCATCCCAGGTCACACGAAGCTGTACTCCCCCTCCTGCTGCCCTAACTTTCACACCCAGCATCTTTTCTTTACTGAGTTGTTCTTTGGATTTCCTTCCTTCCAGGTCAGTTGCTGCCTATGCTGCAAAACCTTGAAGTACTTGATCTTTCTACTAACGGAAACATCGGTGGCAGTTTCAATAGTACTGCTCAGGGATTAAAAAGTACCTCAAACTTGAAAGTCTTGAAATTACATTCATGTGGATTATCACAAAAGAGTGCCACACTACTGAGTGAGTTAGCGATGGCTGACGTTTATACATAATTTTATTTTCTATTTAATTTTTTAAGCTGTTGGCAAATACAACAAAATATGAACAGTGGTTATGTTGAGGAATAAGATTATGGGTGATTTACATCTTCTTCACATTTTATTTATTTTCTATGTCTTTTACAGTGCGCATATACCTTCATGATTACAAAAATAACCTTCTAAAAACAACTGGCTCTGAAAAGGCCAGGATATTTTAGGTTTGAGAGAGATACAGGGCAAAATAAAAGTTTCTGTGCTACTAAAGCTCTCCATTTTCCTCTTAACTTTTGAAAATGCCAGTATTATTTTCTGCTTAGTAGCAGGAAGGAATTGATCCTGAAAAAAAGAACCTACCCCCTGTCCGCCCCTCTCCTGCCTACCACCTTGTAATACGTCAGAAAGGGATTTTGACCCTCTTTGTCGATGCTGTTTTAGACACTTGTGTGAGCTGAGAAAACTAGACAAGGTGCTGGGCAGAGGGCCTGAAGACTCCTCAGGGTTGGCAGAGGTGTCTGCTCACACGTTTCTATTCTCATATGCTCTAATCAAATTATGTTTTGCTTTCTTTTTGCTACACTAATTGCAGTCATTGCCTGAAAGACATGCAGAATTTGAAATCAATACTACTCCAAAAGAAGTCATCAGGATGAGGGGGTCTTGAGTGGTAAATGGGGATGTTTTAGGTAATGATTCTTCAATTCCTTGGGCATCCCCATGAACTCCGTGAACACCTGTGCGGGTACAAAAAAACCTATGAGCAGATGTTCATGGCAGCTTTATTCATAATAGTCAAAAACTGGAAACAGAACAACATCCTTCAGTGGGAGAATGGTGAAACAAACTATGCAGTATTACTCAGCAACCAGAAAGGAGAGAACTGCTGATCCATGCACCACTCGCATGAACTGCCAGTGAATTCTGCAGAGTAAAAAGGCCAGTCCCCAAAGTTACATCCTATATGATTCCATTTACATGATCTTCTCAAATTTAGAGATGGAGAACAAAATTATAGAGAGAGAGAACAGGTTAGGGATTGGGAGAGGGGTAGGTGGCAGGTGTCACTAAACAGCACAAGGGAGACTGGCAGTGATGGAACAGTTCTGTAGCTTGATTGGGGTGGTGGCTGTGCAAAAGCTACAGGTAACAAAACTGCATTGGATTAAACACACACACACACACACACACACACACACACACACACGTGCATGCATAACTGATGGAATCTGAATAAGCTCTGAATAGTACTTTCGTCCACTGTCTGGTTTTGTTACTGTACT